CATTACGATTTCTACGGAACAAGTCGCCACATGTTCCAACCCCCAACCTGAACGGCCAGGAGACTGTTCGTCAGACCTCTAACCATTGACCAACCTGGTGTGAGAGACTCTGTGAGTGTCGCGGGACACTCTCCAGTATAGCTCAATGGATCGCTGAGGTGCGCAAGCCGTCACACCACGATAAGGTCCAGTCTCTTCGTGATGGCTGACATCTTAACTGCGTAGCTTCCGCTTCCTGCCATATTGAACGAAGATCTATTCGCCATCAGTTAACAGATCGAGCCACCGCTTCCAATGCACGACTCTTATTCCATTAGCCTCAGTATCCTCGGTGGACAAAGCTGTAGAAGCTAGAACAACTGTAATCCGGTGCACGGTTTGAGTTAGAAAACTGAACTGAACTGAACGCGAAACGTGCCGGCCTAGCACCACGCGGAATTTCGACCGAAGAGAGGCGGCATCGACCACATCTTCACACTACGTCTGGTAGTACCGCAGCACCGTAGGTACAGACGACTCACAATATTCGTGTTCATTGAATTCAAAACACATTCAGTTCTATCGATCACTCAATGTTTCTAACAATTCTTGCCCAAAGTCGGATGCCGCAGACGTTCGTGAACATAATACAAACATTATGTACTTCTGGGCGTATGACACATCATCTAAAAGTTTCTCTACAAGAGAAGTTGTGCCTGGTAAATCTGTCCACCTCCTCCATGCCTGTTCAGATTCGTTGACTAATCAATGAGGTGGACGCTGGAGTGACTTCAATATCTTCAAATGATCACGAGTGAAAACCTTGTCGACTTGGAGTAGGCAGACGGCACCTCCCTAATCTTTCGACAGGAAGTACAAACGTTGTTGAATGAACTGACCACAATGCCATCTTTTGACATGCACCTTGTGCACAAGGACCACAGACATAGACTACTCTAATGGTATTGTCGCCCGAAACAAGACATAAATGCACTCTATGTATGATCGTATCAGTGACTACGCGCCGCTGCTTGCACTGGAAATAAATACTGCGGAACGTAATTTTCCAACAGAAGCACGGGTGTTTAGCCTAACCCGCTTGATGATAGCCTACAGCCCATAAACCAAGTGGATAGCTTCAAGTATCTGGGTTCTATCACCTATCCAAATTGTCAAGCCCAGCAAGAAATAGACGTTCGCAATGACAACTCCACAAAGACTTCAATGCAGCTTCATAGCAGTCTACGGGAATTAGCATTCGACCAAACTTGTGTACGTATGATCCATCAATCCGTACCACCGGGTAACTGAAATTTGGCCTCTCCAAACAGTCGGTCTTCAAACCCTTGAAGTATTTCATCACCGGGGTCAGGATCGCTCGGCGTGGCAGAGCGAATTTACTGACCGGAAGGTCCATGGTTCGAACACGACCTCTGCTTCTGTCCACACTTGAGCAAACTGGCGGTACCCCAGCCCTCGTGTTTCCTTCTGGTGGGATGTCAGCTAGGCACCGGAACGGTGTTACAGCTGAACGACTTTCATCACCGGTCCTTAAGGTAGGTTGTACTGACAGCATATCTAATGAAGTGTCCGGAACAAAAGCCCATCCAAATTGATTCAAAAGTGAAGACTAGAATATCGAAGAGGGGTTCTCCACAAACAAAGCTCGAAATATCGAAGTGTTCCTGTCGCCATTACCCAGAATGGTGCCATATCATCCAAGGACAGCTGAAAGTCTGGTCATCTATAGTTAAGATCGACGGGAATGTGAGGCAGAATAGTGGAAGGGAAGTCGGATAACGTTGTGCTAAGATTACACTGCATAGGGAGCAGCGATCCGATGTATTTTGGAGCCGTTAAGTAAAGTGGGGGGTTCAGTTTTATAGTAGGTACGTCGGTTGCAGGCAACCTCCAATACCTCGACCATATGTTATACATGCCGAATAATCATCCACCGAAGCACACTGCAAGGTAAATATATCATAAACATGAGAAATTACGAAGAATATGGTGCAGTTCGCCTTCAATGATGGCGTTCCCGTGACCCTCCCTGTACTTAGCTGATAACGTTGTGATGCGCAATAGTCAACCCATATTAGTGGCTCCCGTGATGTCAGTTTAATTCCAGGTTATCTGACTGAGTATAATATACGTATATATATATATATATACATATGTATATATATGCATATATATATATATATGTATATATATATATATATATACGTATATTATACTCAGTCAGATAACCTGGAATTAAACTGACATCACGGGAGCCACTAATATGGGTTGACTATTGCGCATCACAACGTTATCAGCTAAGTACAGGGAGGGTCACGGGAACGTATTAAAAAACTACCGGGATTCCCAAGGAACTGAAGATCACTTTTACCCCTAAATCAAGGCTGCTAGGTGGACGCTGAGTGATTGGTTAGAATCACGTCTCGGATAGACATGGTCAGTTATGGCTCAGACCTCGCCACTGATTGGCTGCCCGAGCGCCAAATCGGTAACTGAATTCTGTAGCGTGGGGTGTCAGGAAGTCAGCGGTATTCGACGTTCGAGAGGACGGCACACGTCAGTTCTGAAATGTGCAGATATACGGACTGGTATTAATGAATCCACACAGTATACACAGCACACATGCGCACAGGTCGGGTGGAACAAGGGAGAAAGCCGGAGTGTGGTAACGACACGTGTATTGAGCGAAACCGAAACCGGAAGCGGGGGGTGTACACAGGGTCGGGGCAAAGTCAGTTATGGGGGGTACAAGCGGGATACTCTTCCCTGTCCAGGGCCCGTGGTGATTCGTCCGTGGTACCTGCAATGGGGGAAGAAAGGGAGGGGCACGTATAAGGTCATATGAGAGACGGGCAAGCAGATACATTCGAGTTTCAAATGCGTTACAATTCCTTGAATCACAGTTGGCGGCTTCCATCAAAATTAAGAAATTTGTGGTTAGTTCCGAGAATATTGCCCTTAGACGGATCCCACCTTCAACCGGTCAACGCATTCCTACGTCTGAAAGCAGCCATTCCGCCCTCTATATCAGCCGTAGCCGACCAATACGTATCCATTTGACAAGGTCACTCAGACGCTACAAACTAACTTAGTGATCCCATGACCACTTAGATACTCTGCTACAGGAAGCCGGCTCACCAGGCCGACATTTCGACCCCACCAATGTGGATAAATGCGAATGAATGAATTTTAGCCGAACAACAGCGTGCCGGATTCTCAACGGCTCCTCATGCCTTCGGACAGCGATAAGAAGTTGTTCCTGGTAGAGCTAACCGAGTCTCCAAGATCGTGGCTGCAGCCCCTCAACCGCCGCTTTAATCAATGTCGGTGAAGGTATCTATGGAACCTTCATTCAAGCATTCTCACAAAGGACGGACCTGTGGAATTGTATTATAAGTGCTGCCGAGGCTCTCGACAAAAGCACTTGGTTTGCTTGGTTTACTGGGCGTGAAATCAACTTATGACTGACTGATACACACGGTCGGATCCTTTCCCGGTCTTCCCGAGTGGGGTTTTTCATGTCGTTCAGCGGCTTCCATCCAAATGAAGGCAAGAGAATGCAAATGAACGAAAAGTCGGTGCGGTTCGCCCTTTCGGTTCTCAGTGTTGGGCAGCACATTTGTCGCCACAAGGAGCAAATGAGATGGCATCTGAAAGTTGTTTGATCTGAGTCCCAGATGCAGAGCAGATAATTGCGTAAGAATGATTCCGTGCCCCAACAGGTCGAAATAAGGGAATCTTGTCCAAAGTTTTCGCGCTCCAAACTTCAAAATTCTGCGTGCCCCAGCTGTGTAAAATGGTGTTCAAAGAAACAAAAAAACCGTAGCACTTAGCCAAAGGCACCAACCATGGGGGTTAGTTCAGTTCAACTGGTCAATTAACCGGCGTGGGTTGCAAAGGCTTCGTGTGAGAATTAAGATTTGTACGTATATCGGTATAACAGACGGACTAGAAATCCAGAATTCAGCGAAGCGTAACAACCAGCACGTATGTATTCGAATTGGCGAATATATACATCATATTGAATATTAAAACAAGAGAATAATGAATAGAGCAACGAATAGAGTATCAGTCATGTTCATCACTGTATTGCATTGGAAAATTATCAATCCCACGGTCCAATTCCATAAAAGTAGTGACAGAGAGTGAAATAATGGCAGACTTGAGTGTTCGGACAAATTCTCAGCAAGTCCATTAGACTGGGGATGTCGCGGAGCAGTAAACAGATGTCGACATCCAGGACCTTTTAGCCATTCCTCGAGGAATGTTGCAGAGAAGTGTGTGCCGTTGTCAGTGACCAAAGCAGTTGGTACGCCTTCATGGCTGAATACTTTCCTCTAGGCATGCTGAATGAATTCGGCTCTCGGAGAAGTAGTCAGAAAAACTTCAGGCCGACGTCAATATGCGTCAATACGACTAAAGCATAGCATTTGCCGAGAAGAGGAGCACAGTAGTCGGCATGAACTCGTCGAAACGCTTGACGAACAGGCTCGTGTAAGCCAAATGGAACAATTCGTCTCCTAGGTATTTGCACGCCACCTGTAGGCTTAGGATATTTAGGAATCGGTTCCTTGATTTCATTTTCATTCACGGACGTCGGTAAGGTGATATTGGTTTGCAGTAAGCGTAGATCTTTGAGTCCGATAATCGACGGTCCCGACGTTGAAACCAAGAAATTACAATCGATAGAGGTACCTTGGGATAGCCTCACAGGGATCGTGCAACTACCAACTGAAGGTACAGAATGTCCAGTGATACGGCGAATTTTAACATCTGTAGGCACTACCACGGTACTGGGGTAGAATGCAGTTAGATCTGATTGTGGAATGATGGTTTCAACACTACCAGTCATGCTTTCGACCAGATGCGGATATCAACGTTTTAAAAACGTGACGAATTTCGGGACAAAACAGATAGAGAAAGAGCAGAAATATCTTCAGATAATGCCTTTACGTCAGTGTTTGGGTCAGAAGTTAGGTGACACACTTTCTTTGACTTACAGACAAGTTGAATGTGGCCTGTTTTACCGCAGATAAAACACTTCGCTCGTCCGTGGGGGCATAAATACCTGGAATGTTTTCGTCCACAAGACTCGCATTTCCCAAATCTTTGAGCCGTCGAATTAGGGTTACGATCTGTGAAGTGAAGTATTGATGGATTTGGGGCACGAAAATCTGTTCGAAGTTTGAATTTGTTGTCCGTCTGCATCCTTGAATTATTTCTTTTAGAATAATTTAACAAGACTGCTTCCTCAGTCTTCGTCACATGCTTCACATCTTCATACTGCTCACACATTTTCCGAATAGTTTGAAATTTCTGATCCGGACAGAGTAGCAGCTTTTGCTGTTATTCGGGCAACTGAATGCCAGCAATGAGTCTATCACGCAGCTGGTCTTCCAAATGGGCGCCGTAGTGCCTGTGTCTGCAGCTGTAACACGAAATCACGAACCGACCGAGAATGGGAGCGGGTCAACATATTGAACCTAGCTCTTTCGGCTGCTACGAAGTTAATTGGTTTGAAGTGTTGAAGGACTTTTTTCTCTTCAATAAATTGCAGGAAATATCGATTGGAGATTGAGGATATACTAAATTGTTGATCAACGTGTACGCCTCCTTGCCAACGAAATGTAGGAAATATGCAGTGAGTTTCTTCTCATCCATATCGGATTTCGTGCGGCGACATATGTCGAACCGTTCCAAATAATCCTCTACGTCACGCGCAGTTGAATTAACATCTAATAGTTCCATTTCGGCTGGCATGATGAATTGTTCCAATCGCGATACCAAATTGTGAGAATTAAGTTTCGTACGTATATTGGTATAACCAGACGAACTAAAAATCCAGAATTCAGTGTAGCGTAACAACCAGCACGTATGTATTCGAACTGGCGGATATGTACAGCATATGGAATATTGAAACAAGAGAATAATGAATAGAGCAATGAATATGTTATTAGTCATGTTCATCACACTTCGATATGATGACGGCCAACGGAGCCTCTTTTTCTGCGCATGATTTACCGTTGGTCTAATCTTGGATTAAATATGCGGTGGAAATATCATCCCGTTACAAAGTACCTGATCGATAACGTGGATGGTGGTGAACGCTTTTATTGGATATGTGGTTGTTGTCATCTTTACCGGCAGAAAAAATCGGCCTTCAACTTCATCATGTTCCCCTTTCAGCACTGTCATGACCGACAACCGTTTGCCTTTCCTGTCCTCCCTTAAATTTTGTGCCGTCTATTTAGACCCGTAGTGTTTTCATGTGTAAACTGCTGTCTTCCCAGGAAAGTAGGTTGTAATAACCCCCAAGTAAACTCCAACGACCTGATGCATTTTGCGCTTCCGGCATCCGTGGCTCCGCCATTATCAACGGTGTATCAGGTTTAAACAAGTGCTCTTCATCCCGGTAACCATACTTCGCCTGGAGATATTTTTTGAGGGGACGGGTGGAAGTGAGTGGCTCAAATCCCCATTGTCAATCTAACATAGTAATTCTCAAGTGCCTACAAATTGAGGCACTCATTCATGTGGGCCAAATAAAAACGACAACAAGGGTGTCAGTGACATCGATGAAGAGTCGAATAATGCGGAGTTTCCATTCGCACAGAGGTGGGACCACGAGGAAGGCGAGTAACCCCAACATTATAAGACTTTTCGCAGATCCAATTCATAACTTTTCGTTACTCCGGACGCGGTCCGGAGAACGACACTGATGTTGGACAACAACGTTCTGGCATGCGCAACTAACGGTAAGCCACCACAGCTCCCTCCCATGAACGTGCCGGCGACTTTCAATAGAATTCCGGAATGCCGTTGGTTATTGCAATAAGCTAGAACTCGGCGTACACCTCACCTAACTGATGATCTTAGAGTATACTTAACTGTTATGTGGAGCAGTCAGTTCATCCACAGTCGATTTGTAAAATCGGACGATTTCTCGAACCCAAAATGCTTACGTTTCGAATTCAACGGATAGGTTATTCAAAGCCTCCAAGTGTTGCATCAACGACACATCAGCTTCAAGCGAAGACTCAAATCTGCCCCGTTTAGCGCTCTCTTTGCAAGTGGAGAGGTGGTAGTGGAAGGGTCGTATCTCGAATACCAACGCAACGTGGTAATTTCCTAAAATGCTTACGTATCAAATCCACAGAGGAGGATTTTCAAGGCCTCTCGAGCAAAGCCTAAGTCGAGCTCGTCCGATAGCACGTCATAAGACGGAACGCTTCTCCAGCGGAAGCTCAGAACGCCGTTTCGCACCATCCATGCAAATAAGAAGCAACTGGATGAACGAACGATGTATCAGGGACTGCGACGCGACCGCGCACTGCCACAGAGGAGGTCAGTCGGAGATGTACCGCGACTAAAACAACAGTCACGAACAGGAGATCGGGGCTCATTCTTCGCCGCGCGGAAGTTTTGCGTGATATGAGTCCTATGTCTCTGGCTTGGATCAAGCTCCCATTAAATACGACCATGTTGGATAGGGATTGCTGTTGCGCTTGGGAGAGTAAGTTAGCGATACTGAAGCGATTCAAGAGAAGCCGCATCAGGGAGGGTCTATAGCTGGCGAAAGATGAGCGGTCACCGGTTTTCAACCGATTTAAATCAACTGGTCAGCAGTTTTGTGTACTGGTCTCCGATCGTTCCCTATCAAGCAGAGAAAAGGTTGTTTTAGTCAAGCGAGTGAGGAAACCACACAGAATTGACGGATTCACGGATTGATACACAAGATCGAGGCTTTTGCCTAAGTTTCTCGGGTCGGTTTTGTTCGTGTTGGTCAGTGGCTGTCGTTCACCTAAAAGGCACAAGTGAACAGAGGGTGTAGCATTGTTCTTTATGTTTTCAGCGAGGGGCAATATGCTTGCCAGCGCGAGGATTCGCATAAATAAATGTCTAATTGTGCTTTAAACTGGGTACTAGAAGGAGCGTGGACAACCGTCGCAGGAAGGTCATTCCACGCAGTTACTACCGGAAATGAGAAAAAATTTTGCCCATTGAATGTGTACGCTCTGAGCTTGAAAATCCTACCATGTCCCCGCCGTGTTTGCTCGGTCAACGGTTCACGGATTCACGGATTAATATACAGGATCGAGGCTTCTGCCCGAGTTTCCTGGGTCGGTTTCGTTCTTGTCGGTCAGTGGCTGTCGTTCGCCTGAAAGGCACAAGTGAAAATAGGGTGTAGACTGCTATTTATGTTTTCAGCGAGGGGTAGTATGCTTGCCAGCGCGTCCTGGGTCGGGTTCTTGTCGGTCAGTGGCTGTCGTTCGCCTGAAAGGCACAAGTGAAAATAGGGTGTAGACTGCTATTTATGTTTTCAGCCAGCGGTAGTATGCTTGCCAGCGCGAGTATTCGTATAAATTAATGTCTAATAGTGCTTTAAACTGGGTTCTAGAAGGAGTGTAGACAACCGTCGGAGGAGTGCATGCCACGCAACTACTACCCGAAACGAGAAAAAATTTGTCTAATGAATGTGTGTGCTCTGAGCATGGAAATTTTCTTATTATGCCCCCGCCAGGTGTTTGCTGGGTCAACGGTAAAAAACCTGTTTGCCATGCCTTAATTAAACAGGGTGTAAGTAAGAATTAGGTCCCCTCGGAGGCGACGGTACTCCAGGGGAAAGAGATCAAGCATTGCGAGACGCGTTTCGTAGTCCACGGATTTGAGGCCGGCAACCATTCTCGTGGCGGCCCGCTGGACATGCTTAATGAGGGCGACGTCTTTCGTGCGTCCTGAGTAGACAACCTGGTTGGCGTATTCCAGGAGCGGTCTGACGTGGGCCCCATAGAGTGTTTGGAAGTCCATGCGAGTAAAACGGGAGAACGTGCGTCGGATCATCCGTAAAATCAGAGTATCCGAACTCCGCTAAGCAACTGATGGTTGGATAAAGATCTTGCCGTCCAGACATTTTGAAATGGAATTACATGTGGCTAACGCATTTGCACTGTATGTGAAGCGTATGAGCCGTCGGATTTAAAACGGAGAGGTAAGAGACCTATCACCTGTCTTCAATGATAGTGTACTATGTTCATGGAGCAGACTTAGTTGCCCAGACTACAGTTGGTCAATAAGACATCCAGCGCATCTTCCGAGCCGGCACTCTGTTAGTGCCTTGCTCGTACATTACCTTCATGAGTCAAAAAGCACTGCGGAGTATCGCAGGTCTTAGCATCTGACGGACAACGATATCTAAAACCGGCGCCATTAGAGAATTGATTCGCCAGCTCGCACAGCCCGGCACATAAATGATAGCTCCGTCGTAAATACAAGTAACTGGTTGACAGCTTCTCAAGAAATGAAGCATGGGGGTACGGTCCTAATGTCTGTTGATGTGAGTCGTAGAGGGAGTGGGTAATTTTGTGGCGAGCTCAAATGTCTTAGTAAGAACCCGCATTTTAAAGGGGTGGGATCTTGGATAGGTATTCTTACAAGGGGAATATGAATGGGCACTTGTGACAGGAGTCAATTCGAACCATTGGCGCAGTTGGGTGATGGAATACACTTGAAAGAAGCTGAGCATATGTAGAGCGCGAAAACCGAGACGCCCGCTGAGTCAACGTGGAAAGCTTGGTGGGCGGTGTATCGCCCAATACTTTCGCACTTGAAACATCATTTGGCTTCTGCCCCATTTGTAACTTTGTTCCACTTTTGTGCTTGGTGATCGCGTGTGAACTGGCGTTTGGTTGTCCCTACCACTTCACTCATTTGATCTTGAGGTCATCCAGCCGTTTCGGTGCACGGGAGAAGGTGCGTCGGATTATCCGTAGAATCACGAGTGTCTTTGGGCTGATATGGTTGGCCAATGTGGGTAACGTTTCGTTCGCGAACTTTGGATGAACCTCGTCAGGTCCCAGAGCTCTGAAGAGGTTTGCATTGTAATGGAGCTAACATACACCTCCTCCACCAATACTTAGTCGGCTAGAGGCCCTCGGTATTACACCCGTTGTGACTTGCCGAACGGTGGTGCGACCGTGCTCTGAACACTATGGTATGTCAAAGGCACGGCAGCTGCTTACAGCCATTTATGGAGACAAAGCGAGATTATCACAACCATATTCATGAGCTGACTGCAGAATGTTCCGCAAGGTCACGGTAGAATCGTCATGAGGATGCGAGATGCGCCAAGCTATGGATGCTGGCTCCACATTGGCTGACATTCTGACCAATCAAGGCACACCCTCATTTAGTCCGCAGCCCGCACATGATACATCCGTCCAAATAAAGTGATGTTCAGCTGTCGGGAACGGCTGGCCTCCGGGCAACGTCTTTCCAAAATTGAATGTGATGGATTCGCTGAAACGAAATACAGTCATGCACTGTGTTTCTTGTATGCTTCAGCTGCCACTATCGTGTCAGTTGTTGGTTCCCAGTTTCTGTCACTCAAAAGGCGGTTGGTTTTTTCTTCGGCGTCGTGTCATGCACTCGAATTGTACATTTTTTCGTGGGAAGTCTGTTATCGTGGCCTCTACGCGTATGTTACATTGACGTATTTCTGAGTTACAGTGAGCCACTCGTCTCTAGCTCGTATCCTGTAGTTATCCTTTTATTCTATTTCACAGGACGACGGAGTGTCCCGGATAGTTTTTGGTCTGACGGATAGAGTACTGGTTTCTTTTGATTCAACGGCGTCAGCCCGGGTAATTTCCGGGACAGTGGTTCCATATGTCTCCTCCACTGCAGTTTATGTATCGTCCAACCGTAGCATCCTTAGGTGCCTGGCTCCCATGCCACCAGAAAGAAACAATAGACCTGGTTAC